GTTTACATTTTGTTATTTTGACCCCGTCGTTTAGACAACGTTTTCTCGCTCAATATTGTAGCTACAATATTCTAGCTCGTACCAAAATGTAGCTGATTTCACCAGCTATCTGACAATAAGTGTAAAATTATTATTCGCACAGATATAAATAAAAGTCATGTTTATGTTGCATTAAACATTCTAATTATAATTCTGCATGGTTTCAAATATTGTTTACATTTTGTTATTTTGACCCCGTCGTTTAGACAACGTTTTCTAGCTCAATATTGTAGCTACAATATTCTAGCTCGTACCAAAATGTAGCTAATTTCACCAGCTATCTGACAATATGCGTAAAATTATTGTACCTGTAATATTCGCACAGATATAGACGAATAAAAGTCATGTTTATGTTGCATTAAACATTCTAATTATAATTCTGCATGGTTTCAAATATTGTTTACATTTTTTTATTTTGACCCCGTCGTTTAGACAACGTTTTCTCGCTCGAGGAATATAGCTCCCGCTAAAATACAGGCATTTTCACAAGCATTCAAACTATCTGCGTTAGGGGTGAATGTCGTTAATAGTCGGAAAATATTATGTCTGCTTTTAGGCATGAGTTTCAACCGCTTTATATATTAATAGTATATATATTAATTATATTAATATCATAATTAGAAAGTTTAAAGGTGATCTACAGTCCGTATGTAAACAAAGCCTTTGTTTACATTTTTGTGTCCAAAATATTGAGCTTTATTCGACAGCTATTTATATTTTCAAGCTTCTAGAGTATAATAAATGATCAAGAAACAACAATCAGGCTTTTCAAAAACTCAAAACATAGTTAAACTGTTTGTATCATAAAAAGTGGGCTCATTTGTGCACATGCGCAGATCAGACTGTAGATCACCTTTAATGCAACATAAACATGACTAAATTTTATATGTGCGAATATTACAAGTATAATAATTTTACGCATATTGTCAGATAGCTGGTGAAAATGCCTACATTTTAGCGAGAGCTATATTCTTGTAGCTACAATATTGAGCGAGAAAACGTTGTCTAAACGACGGGGTCAAAATCACACAATGTAAACAAAATTTGAAACCAGAATTATAATTAGAAAGTTTAATGCAACATAAACATGACTTTTATTCGTCTATATCTGTGCGAATATTACAAGTATAATAATTTTACACATATTGTCAGATAGCTGGTGAAATCAGCTACATTTTGGTACGAGCTAGAATATTGTAGCTACAATATTGAGCGAGAAAACGTTGTCTAAACGACGGGGTCAAAATAACAAAATGTAAACAATATTTGAAACCAGAATTATAATTAGAAAGTTTAATGCAACATAAACATGACTTTTATTCGTCTATATCTGTGCGAATATTACAAGTATAATAATAATTTTACGCATATATGGGCGGCCGTTACCACCAAAAATACTACACGTGTGAAATGAATGGACATAAACAGAACTGATTCATTGTAAACACAAACGATTCATTGTGTGTAGATATGATTGAACATAACGTAGTAACGTGACTGGACAAAATGTGAAACAGTTCATCTAAACTTGAAATGATTCACCTCGCAGTGTTCTAATTCGATTAGTGCTAATTGCTGTGTTAATTCATGTAGACAATGTGAAATGGCTCAACGTGTTTTGCAATGATTTAACAAGTCATGAACAAATGATTTATGCTATTTTGAAACCATTTATCGTGTTATGAAATGATTCAACTAAATGTGAAACGATTCAACTAAATGTGAACTGATTTAACTTTATGTGAATTGATTCAATATAATGTGAATTGATTCAATATAATGTGAATTGATTCAATACAATATGAAACGATTCAACTTAATGTGAAACGACTGGATCAACCTCGTCCCCAGGGCCTTTTAAAGAAAGATGCGAAGGGCAGCAAAGGCCCTGGTAAAGGCTGGTGAAATAATCCACAAATTGTGGATTATTTTGTCACGTGATATATCGGAGCAAATACTATACAGGGGGGTGCGATCGCGGATCGCTTTAGCTACAATATATTCGTCAATATAATGCATAAACACCGAAATCGACAAATAAAGAACAAAAATCTATTTTAAAATGAAAAAATCTGTTAAAGTTTTTCCAAAAATATTGAATAAATTTGAAATTGTCTTCAAATTAGCTCTGAGAACCTTGGTTGAACTGTAAAGGAGATCGATTAAATAGACAAAGCAACAGTGCAAAACGAATGGATCGATAGAAGTATTTACTATGAATTTAATACTGTCGCAAGGAAATTGCTGCCTCGATTGTGAAACAGATATGTAAAATCACTTTAATTTAATAATATGGACTCTCAATACACCATATCCATGATCATCAAAACATTTAATAGTTATTGTTGCTACAATAGATCTTTCTTGCAAATGTCAATATCATACAGTATATTTAACAGTTAAAGGGAGTACAAGACCCAAAGAATGTCTGAAAAACAAGGAATGTCAACATCGTATGCACTTGGAATTTAAATGCTTATGTTAGCCATATGCCCTGAGTATAACCCGGTTGCCTCCATGGTTAATTATCATTTCCTGAATTTAATTGAGTTGAAATATTTTAATTGATTTTCATTCTTATCCCAAGAACATTGTGAACACACATATAATGCTTTGGGTTTAGATTTCAAAGGCCAAGCTTCAAAACAAATGTTGTGATCTTAATGATCAGGCATTCCCAAACAATTACATGCATGAGGGTCAAATCAGACAGAAATCCTCCATATGCTTTATCAAGGCTGAATAATATAATGAGATGGAATTAATTTCCTCATTATACTGTTAACAAGCTCTTGTTTTTGTTTGTAATCAATTACACAAATTACTTCCCAGAACATTATTTAAGGAGATTATTTGACAAGTCAGCAGGTACATTTCCTGAGCCACAATTGGGGCAATTCATGTCACTCATCACAACAGGCGCTCAAAATCACTCACAACATACAACAGGCAGTTCAGCATCACTCACCACAACTGACTGTTCAATAATGTGTACCTCAGTAGGCAAATCAATAATCAATATTTTGCTCAGATCAACAACAAATATCAAAATTGAACTCATTCTCAAAACATGATACAATAACAAGGGGTCTCTTCTGGACAAATACAAGACACCTGATGTCAAGTGACAAGATTATTCATCTCTTTTAATATAAATACATTTTGCCGCCTTGTAATAAAGTACTATTTGTTGTTGGTGACCATCAGTTGAGCAATTTAAAACATTGCAGTGTATGCTTTATCAGACCTAAAGGTACTTCGCTTCACCTTGTATCTTTATACCTGATAAAACTATAGTACATAAAATAATAACTATGATATTTAGCCTGAATATTATTATAAATGTATGAAGGATATTATACATATATTCTTGATGCTCAACATTATCCGATAATCATTTAACATGAAATCCGATAATCATTTAACTACTGAGAACTGTGTGAATTCCTGAATTACTTATTGTTACAGACTGTACTGACCTCTTGCAATTATGGTTATTAACCAAAATCTGACAATGTCTCTAGTTAACCCATTGAGCTGCAATGTGCCCCAGTGTGCCCTACTTACTGAAATTGACTGATTTGTGGTTTATGGGGGGTTTTTGTGGCAATTCTTTGGGCATCACAAGTGCATTTGTATATCTTAATACACTGTGAGAATACAAGTATTAGTATTTAAATGACACAATATGATGTAAGTTACCTTTCAGGTATATAATTTGTATACAGCATCAGTGGTGCAACTTAATTTTTTTGACCACTTGCCCTCAGGGCAAGTTGGACATGAAAATTGGTTGCCCTGAATAAAAACCACTTGCCATCAGGCCATGGGGTACCTACGCGGGCCAGTATAAATTAGAGAGACAACATATCCACTCATTGGCCTAGTGGCATTGGCTATATGTTACTGCCTCAGATCTAAACTACCTCAGATCTAGCTTTGGCTCACATATTAAACAAAATTTGAATCAAGTACACTTGTTTAATGTAACACTAATCACCATTATTTATTTTTTTTATTAGTTTTACAATAAGAAATTGAAGGCACAGACAACAGGACTAATAAAGTCCCAAATTAAGTCCTGCCATAAATGAAGTCCTGCCATATTTCGTTCGGTTATCATATTATGAATAAACATTTAATAACCAAAAAGAGAATCAAATGCATAATATAACCAAACAATTTAGATGAATTTGATGCAGATGATTTGCCAGCTTGAACCAATGTCGTCGAACAGCCTTTATTCTATCCGACAATAATAATATGAACTGAAAGCTGGCCAGCTTTTTGTGGCAAAGCAACTTGCCCGTTCGGGCAACCAAGAGGAAACTTTTACTTGCCCATCATGATATTCACTTCAATCACTTGCCCCGGGCAAGTGTTAAGTTACACCTCTGAGCATAGTAGTTGCCATTTGGCAGCTGTTGGTCAACAGTGAAGGTTCAAAAACACACATGCCGGAATGCTTATAGAATACCTCGCCATTTTTCCGCATTCATTGACACATAAATAAGTACAAGAATCACTTCAAAATAGTTTAAGGGTAAAGTTTAGAGATTAAATCATATGAGTATGTTAGTTTGGTTTACAAGGAATTAATAGCGGTAAGGTGTGAAAGTTGTGGGTATTCTATAGTTGTATCAAAAAAGTGAAAAACCAAGCTAACCACAATATAAAGCTTGCCACAATGTCAAAGAGCATAGTTGCTGACTAAGAAACATCTATTAGACCATGTACAGTACTTGAGTCTTGTGATAATATCAGTGATATTGCTTTTGTATTATACGATATACTGTAAACTTGCTGTTAACATATTATATTATTAATATTCATGGTTGTCAAATATCATAAAATCAACACACAAAATTCACACACAAAGGTTTAAAATAATGTATATTGGTATAAACGTTTAATAAAAATGCATACATACGTAAACCATGGTCGGCATGGAATTTTGTCACTTGGCACAGTACTTTAATGTTTTTTAATGTTTGTCCCACATTAAAATATATTGAGTCAATGACAGTGCAACTGTTCATATTAAAACGTTCTAATCACATTTTACATGCACATTTGTATTCAGTAGTAATCTTTTCATAAAGGTACATCAAAGTCCCAAATCAAATTCTTCACTGACAGTAGTGACAGTATGTTATTGACTCCCAAACGACAAATATTATAAAACACGCTTCCAAGCTGAAAATAAATATTTACTGTTGTCAGTCAGTGTTTAGACTCTTCTCTTTGAATCTTGATCTTCCACAAGTATTGCTGTTGATTATATTCCATATTTTTTTGAAGAACATCGCAGACTATATATTTACAGTATTTCCACTGTCAGTTGAAAAGTTTATCATCATAGTTTCAGTCTCTGGTTTCAGTCGCAAAAGGTTAATTAATTCTATCGCCCCTTTGCACGGCCATGTTTGATAAAATCAAAGCGGCCCGCACCCCCGGTTTGAAAAGTTAAATTTCTGAAATATTCAAAATTTGAAGCATCACGTGACCAGCCTTTACCAGGGCCTTTGCTGCTTCGCCTCCTTCCTCAATAGGCCCTGGGGACGAGGTTGCTCGCCGCTTCAGCTGTACCGGAAGTCGTTGTGGCGCCTCTGCCACTTGCCACGTTTACTACAAACCAATTTCCACGCTTCCTTCAAAAGCTTGGTACTTGTAAAGCACATTTGCATTTGAGTTGTAGCGGCCCGGAATGAGGATGTGGATTAATAGAAAGGTTGTATTCGTGTTCTGCGCTTGTGTGTTTTATGTATTTGCTTTACCAGCAGATGCGGACGGCAAGAATGAACGGGCGAAACCGCACGAGGACAAACTTTCGGACGAAGAGCACTTCAACCCGGATGGCGAGCACAACGCTGAATTTGATAGAGAAGCTTTCCTCGGAGACAGGAAGGATGAGTTCGACCATTTGTCTCCCGAAGAGGCACAGAGGAGGCTTAAAATTCTCCTAAAGCAAGTCGACACGGACGCCGATGGTCATCTGACTTCGGAAGAGCTCAAAGCTTGGGTGAAAGGGGTTTTCAAGAAGAAGATGGTCGAAGGCATGGAAAGCGATATAAAGGAAAAGGACAAGGATGGAGACGGATTCATAAACTGGGATGAATTCTTAAAGGATAGCTACGGGGACGATGTTTCGGCCGAAGACGAAGAAATGAAAAGAATGATTGACAGAGATAGAAAACATTACGATGTAGCTGACGCCGATAAAGATGGGAAACTGACTGCAACGGAATTCGGGAGCTTTTTGCACCCAGAAAGCAACCCTGAAATGCAAGCTTTGAATGCACAAGAAACTCTCGAAGGTAAGGGCTTGTTTTGTCATAATCGTATAGCGAAAACTGTAAAGTTTTGATAGCCTCATAGCAGTTTTACAAAGCGTAATTCTGACACGCATTTACAGTATTTATAAATTGAACAAGCTCGTTGCATAAATTATGTACACAGACGTGTAGAAATTGTACAAAATTTATTATAACAGTTTTTAAAACAAAACCCGTACAAACTCACTTGTATATCATCCTTTTGTGGTCGCTTAGACGTTTGTCTGTTAACATAGGCCATAAAATAAACGATGTATTTATTATTTTATTGACACTAAAAATAAAGCAATATCTGACTAGTATTGGCCCAGCTGTATTTAATATGGAGTTGTATTATGGTTATTTCACACGTGGGTTACATGTAAACGGGTGGTTTATTATGAAAATTCATTTTCATTATTATATATCAAGTGTTAAAATTCTTGTATTCCTGCATCACATAATTGTTAATAATCTGGAAGTCAAGCAGTGATTTTATTAGCCTTTTTCATGAATTTGAGCAGGTGACCCATTTATCTTTAAAAAAAATTGAAAAGGACACCCAAAATTAGTAAAAGTTTCAGTTGATAATCAATGAGTCGTTCCAGAAAAGATCCACACTCTCCCCATGGAAGAAAAATTTGTATCTGATAATAGTAAGTGTATTAGGACATCCGAGGGGAGGAGGGGTTAACTCCCAATTTCCTCTGTGGGGGAGGTATGGATGTTTTCTGGAGTGACCCAATATGAAATGGAGTTCAATTTAAGATTGAAAATTTTCTTAAAAAATTATTGTAAGAAAATAATAAATTCTGAAACTCAGATGACCAACACATGTTCCCCCTTGAACATGGCCTTTTGAATATAATGAGTGCTTGGAGTATTCTAACAGCTGCCTGTCTTTGTTATTTTCTCGTGTAGACATGGATAAAAACAAAGATGGCAAACTCGATCTGGAAGAATTCCTTGGCGAGTGGAAAGATCCGGACAGCGGCAACCAAGACGAACCCGACTGGGTGAAAGAAGAAACGGAAAGATTCAAAAACGAGTTGGATAAAAGTGGCGATGGCGTACTGGATACGGCTGAGCTAACGGCCTGGATAACCCCCGATACCGACACTACCCTCGTCGAAGAGGAAGTCAAACATCTAATTGACGAGAGCGATGATGACAAGGATGGCAAACTTAGCGTGGAAGAAATTATTGCACATCACGATATCTTCACCGGTAGTGAGGCTACCGATTATGGACAGGCCTTACCGAAGGAGGAACTATAGACCAGTCTTATAGACTTGTTTAGAGATGAACAATAAATGCATCTTTACAGATTTTAAACTTGTTTCGAGAAGCTAAAAAATGACATTGTTTATATACAGTATTTAAGAAACTTTTTTAGGAATTTAGCTTATTGATGGCTTTCTACAGAATTATTAGACCATATTTGTCTCTATAGTTATTAATGAATGGTGTTAGTTTTCTAAAACCTATAAAAATTGACTACTTATGCTTGTATGCAGAACAATATGCACTATTAAATTATTACTATGGTTTTATAGTCTGTTTTTAAATTACGACTTAAAAGATTGTTTCAGTTATCACATTCAAATAATGTTAGAATAAGTTATTTTCGTATAAAAGAATGACTGAAGTTCTTGGTCCAGATATATATAGAGTTCAGTGGGATAACCTAATGCATTCCCATATGCCCGTTCGCAGGTTAGGTGATGGGCATACCTAACCTGCGAGCGGGCATACTCTGGGTACGAGATTGGGGACGAGTCAGATGTAACGGTGCTTTTAAGTTTTAACCTTTTAACTAATTAATGCCGGGGACTTTCCTTTGCGAGTAAAATACAGTAGATAAAATAGTCAAAGCAGGGCACATCAGGGCATATTGCGGCTAAAGGGTAATAATGAAAGTGTAATAATTATTGAAAGATTTTCGACTATTAAAATGTTAATTCTAATAATGAACGAAAATAACAGATATCACTGTATAACATCCAATGCAAATTGAGCATTGTTCATTATTACAACTATAATAAATCCATTAAAACCGTTTACACAGCTGTGATATATGAAAAAACAACAGCCAGTCATGTTAAAATCTCATTGGTTAGAAACCATTTCGTCTAACGTGCTTGGCAAAGAGATAGTTTACGTGTCAAATTGAAGAAACATAAAATTCCCCCTATATTGTTCGAGCTTTTCGCATCATTATTTAGCGTTCACCGTTGCAAATGGAAACGTGCTTGTAGCAAGTTAAAAAGCAAAAGTAATTGGTTATCTGCTGCTATTATCTGAATTTGAAGCACCTTATAAAGCAAATTGCCGTTGAATAAAGTGTGGCAACATTGCCATTGGTAACAAAGTTTCAAATTTTGAGTTCTCTAGTGTTGCAAAGTGCATACTTTGGATTCATTTGCATTTCGCGGTGTTTGAAAGTACATCTGGTTAATTCAAAGTTTCGAAGCGTTTCAAAGTATAATTGGTCATATATTTCAATCATTATGTCTTTTGGAGTGCACTTAGTCTTATTTTTCGCTTTTGCTAATATAATCACAGCCAGCATAGAACAGCATCACGCAGACCACTTATCAACTCACTCGCATTACGAAGGGGGCGAGCACAACCCTGAGTATGATCATGACGCCTTCCTTGGACCAAAGCAAGCTAAAGAATTCGAGACACTGAGCGAAGAGGAGGCAAAAAAGCGACTGCGAGCTATGGTACCTAAACTAGACACGGACAAGGACGGAGAGATCTCGCTGGCTGAGCTAGAAGCGTGGATAGATAAACAACGCAAGATTTTTATGTATGATGCAGTGGATGAGGATATAGAAGTGCAGGATCATGATGGAGATCGGATGATATCGTGGAATGAGTACATGAAAGCGAGATTTGGCGAGTCGGAACATGATAATTTCCCGAAAGACGAGGTAATATCATGCAGTTAAATTCTTTTCAGGTAGTTCAGACACAAACCGCGGCAGCTTCTTGTAGAATACTACCTACACTGGACCACCACGTTTGAGATATCTTCTTCAGGTAGTTCAGACACAAACCGCGCGGCAGCTTATTGTAGAATACTACCTACACTGGACCACCACGTTTGAGATATCTTCTTCAGGTAGTTCAGACACAAACCGCGCGGCAGCTTATTGTAGAATACTACCTACACTGGACCACCACGTTTGAGATATCTTCTTCAGGTAGTTCAGACACAAACCGCGCGGCAGCTTATTGTAGAATACTACCTACACTGGACCACCACGTTTGAGATATCTTCTTCAGGTAGTTCAGACACAAACCGCGCGGCAGCTTATTGTAGAATACTACCTACACTGGACCACCACGTTTGAGATATCTTCTTCAGGTAGTTCAGACACAAACCGCGCGGCAGCTTATTGTAGAATACTACCTACACTGGACCACCACGTTTGAGATATCTTCTTCAGGTAGTTCAGACACAAACCGCGCGGCAGCTTATTGTAGAATACTACCTACACTGGACCACCACGTTTGAGATATCTTCTTCAGGTAGTTCAGACACAAACCGCGCGGCAGCTTATTGTAGAATACTACCTACACTGGACCACCACGTTTGAGATATCTTCTTCAGGTAGTTCAGACACAAACCGCGCGGCAGCTTATTGTAGAATACTACCTACACTGGACCACCACGTTTGAGATATCTTCTTCAGGTAGTTCAGACACAAACCGCGCGGCAGCTTATTGTAGAATACTACCTACACTGGACCACCACGTTTGAGATATCTTCTTCAGGTAGTTCAGACACAAACCGCGCGGCAGCTTATTGTAGAATACTACCT